GCTGAACTCTTGTTCTTCTCCTGTGGTCTGTCTTTCTTTCTTTTTTTAAGATTTTATTTATTTGTTTGAGAGAGAGAACACAAGCAAGGAGAGAGGCAGAAGGAGAGGAAAAAGCCAACTCTCCACTGAGCAGGGAGTGTGACCTTAGGACCCTGGGACCCTGGGATCATGAAGTGAGCCAAAGGCAGAAGCTTAACCAACTGAGCTACCCAGTTGCCCTTCCGATGACCTCTCATTCAGAATAGTCCCTCCCACTTTTCTCCCTCCTCTTCATGAAATAACATTCCTCTCCTTTATTTATTGGACTTGCCTATGGTTTTGCCATAGTTTGCATGTTCCAAATTGCAATTCTGTGCTATTCCTAAATAAACCTGTTTTTGCCATTAAATAATGTTTCAAGAGGGATCCGTGGGTGGCTCAGCGGTTTAGCACCTGCCTTGGGCCCAGGGCGTGATCCTGGAGTCCCGGGATCGAGTCCCACCTCAGGCTCCCTGCATGGAGCCTGCTTCTCTCACTGCCTGTGTCTCTGCCTTTCTCCCTCTTATGAATAAATAAAATCTTTAAAAGAAATAACTGCTTCATTTAAGGTCAACATAAGTTTTTTAGGTATAATAATAATTTTTCAAAGGAACATAAGAAATGTTGGTGAGGGGCAGCCCGGGTGGCTCAACGGTTTAGCGCCGCCTTCAGCCCAGGGCCTGATCCTGGAGACCCGGGATCGAGTCCCATGTCGGGCTCCCTGAGCCTGCTTCTTCCTCTGCCTGTGTCTCTGCCATTCTCTGTCTCTCTCTGTGTCTCTCATTAATAAATAAGATAAAATCTTTAAAAAAAAAAAAAAAGCAATGTTGGTGAGAATGTGGAAAAATGAGAATCCTTGCACGTAGCTGGTGGGAATGTGAAATGGAGGACCGACGGTTGAGAACAGATTGCCAGTTCCTTAAGAAGCTACACAGAATTACCGAAGAGCCAGCAATTTCACTCCTAGGTATGTATCTAAAAGAATTGAAAACAGATTCAGATACCTGTGCACCAGTACTTTCAGCAGGATTATCCACAACAGCCCAACAATCCGACAGATGAATGGAAAAACAAAGTGCGTTATACACGTACAATGGCATATTATTTGGTCATTTTTACGTACCCAAGGTCAGGCTGGAGCTGAGCTGGTGCCCAGAGGCTGCCGGGAGCCCACGCCCTCCTCGAGCCTCCTGCTTGGTGACTCACCCTGTGACTCATTTCTGCCTCAAACACAGCTTTAGTGCCTCCAGCCTCCCTGGGTCACAGTTCATCAAGCTACGCACATGCACACTTTCCCTGCAGGGAGCATCCCTCACAGCAGGGAAGCACAGGGATCCTGTTTAAAAAGAAATCCATGCAGTTGTGACGCGTGCTACGGTATGGACGAACATTGAGGATGACACGGGGAAACTGAGGAACTGCATTGTCAGTAAGGCGCTCTCTCTGTTTTTCTATCAGACTCCATGTACTCGGGTTGTATACTTGGCATCTGAGTAAACCACCGCAGGGGAGAAGAGTTCATTGTTCTCGGAGTTTTTTGTAGGGCCCCAAACACCTGATGACATCTAAGAAGAACCGGGTCCCAAACGTGTTCTAGGACATTAGATTCAAACAAGCCTCAGCCAACACTAGCACCAATACCCCCTGCCTTTGAGGATTTATGAAACACCTGTCATTCGCCTGTCATTCGCCCTTGATCAGACCCTACCCTGATTCGTGAAGGAACGTGTACTCTGGACCCCTTGCCTATATAAACCCCTAACTCCAAGCGACAACCAGACCCATTCACTTTCCCTTTCCTACTCTCCCAGACATGCTGTCTGCCATAATCTCTCTCGAGCTTGAGTTTGATTTCTATCCTGTACAAAGCCAAGGGCCCTCTTGGCTGGTCCTGTGGGACGCCCCATCTGGGTCCTCGGACCCAACTTTTCTCGCCTCAAAAACACCATGCTAAGCGAAATAACCCAGACACAAAGGGCCACATAGTGTGTGACTCCACTTGCACAAAATATCCAAAAATAGGCGAGTTCATGGAGGTGGAAAATAAACAGGTCACCAGGACTTATTGGAGGGGCAGAGGAGTAGGGAGAGATTGCTTAACGCTTACTGAACTTCCCTGTGGGGTGATTAAAAATGTGGAGATATATGTAATGGTGATGGTTGCAGCACATTGTGAATATAACTAATGCCACCAAGTTGTGTGCTTATAATGGTTAAAATGGCAAATCATACATACATTTTACTACGATAAAAAAAAAAAACATGTTATTACAAAGAATTCACCTCCCAGAGGAAAGGGGATGCCGTTAGCAAAGTGAAAGAAAAGTCATTAAATAAAATCCAAAAAACTACTCCTCTAGGAGATAGTTCAAATTGCTTATATGAGCTTTAATGAAACCTCCGATACTCATTTTCATCTGAAACATGAGGCTAGGGAGTTGGGAAGAAAAGGGAGTGTGTTACTAGTTTAACTGTCTCTTTGTCTAGAATACCTAATTTAATTCTTGCATTTCTTCAGAGCAAGGGGTGGAATGAAAATAGAAATCTGAGAACCCCCTAGAGGTGACGTTCATCATTGCTGCTGCCAAGTGTATTCATTTTGTTTTGATAGCACCACCTGCTTATTAAGCTCAGACTACAGCTACAGTCATGTCTTACTGGTTTGCAGTAAATGCTCAGCTCCCAGCGCCAGATTAGCAGGAAATTGTGTTATTTTCTCTGTGCAGATGGGCTCCTACTGGCCTGGCCTGGAATCAACCACGTGGGTTCACACTGCTCAAAAAGCCGAGGGAGGGCCAGCGGCCGGCCTCAAGGGAGGGTCTTGCTGGGTCCCCTGTGTGGTTGCTCCTCGTTACCACGAGATGGTGCTGTCCGGTCACTCAGAAGCATAATGAACCCGGAGCGGCCACCCCTCCCTGCACCTGCTGTTTTCAGAGATGAGCCTGAGTCTTGGTCTCCCTTAGGGGCCGATTCCTTCAGTTCCCATACCAGGAACTTCCAAGATGCTTCTGGCACTTGCTGCTCCTCAGTTCCCTGGTCCTCCCATGGCATCCACACCACCCAGAGGTCTTACACGTCCCCGTGGCACAAGAGACCTGACAATAGGGTTACTTGCCCTCCTCGCAAGGATATCTACCTTCAGTTATTGCAGGGAGCCTGCATCTACCTTTTAGGATGACTCGTTTCTTTCGGTGACACAGAGATGATTTGAGGACGTCCCCTCAGTGAGTCGAGAGAAAAGGAGATAAAATATTTCACCTTTGGGGACTTTCTAGCACATTAGACAATGCCTCGAGCACTTTTTCCTCTGACAAGGGTTATTTTAAAATGAAAGCTGCCTCCTGGGCTCACAAGATAAGGCACGAGGGCATCTCAGAGAGGCCATATTCTCACTTCTGGATACATCGACAGCAGGAAACATCCACAGCAGCCCAACTGGCCTACAAACAGCTGCAGGTATTTTCATCAGGAACATTATGAACACAGGGGAAACCTTACTTCTGCTTTATGGGGTCATCTGAGGACACCAGAAATCAAAGCATAGTTTGGGGAGGGTCCTTGAGAAGGTCACAATGGTAGGTGGGTTCTCAAATGAGGTAGCATAAATCAGAAAGAGCTGGGGAAAAAGAAAAAGAGATCATGAGCCTAAGCTGCTCACCAGCACCTCTCTCTCTCTCTCTCTCTCTCTCTCTCAGACACACAGACACAGAGAGGCTCTGGTTCACGGACCTTTCTCGGCCTTGGACCTTCTTCTTTTGATCTTTTTCTTTTCAGAAAATCGTAGATTAACATGCAATTTAAGAAACAACACAGAGGGGCACCTGGGTGACTCAGCCGGTTGAGCATCATACCCTCCATCTCAGCTCCGGGCTTGGGCTGGATCTCAGGGTCCAGGAGCCTTGGAAGGAAGGAAGGAAAGAAGGAAAGAAGGGAGGGAGGGAGGGAGGGAGGGAGGAAAAGAAACAAAGAAACAACACAGAGACATCTCCTGTGCCCTTTATTCAGAATCCTCCAACGAGAACATTCGGCCAAAGGATAGTGCCGTATCACAACCAGGATACTGACGCTGAGACAGGCCGGGACATTCCCATCACCCCAACCGTCCCGGTGGCCCCCAGCCACCCCCTTCCCAAGCCCTGGCAACTACTAATCTGTTCTCCATTGCTATATTTTGTCATTTCAAGAATGTCACATAAATTCTACAGCAGGGAGCCTCTCGAGATTGGGTTTTTTCACAGGCTGTTGGGTGTTCGTGCCTCTTTACTGCTCTGAGTTGTGTCAAGTACCTTCATTTTGGAACCTGGACACGGGATGGAGAAGGGAAGAAGCGGGAAGAAGCACCCAGCAGGACGGCTGCCCCCGCACCCCGCGCTCGCAACCAAAGTCCAGTGCCCCCGCCAGAGGGGCGAAGCGGGGCAAGGTCAAGCCCGCGCAGGCCGGGGAGCAGTGAGGCGGGGGCGTGGCAAGGTCAGGACCACCCAGGCGGGGGCGGGGAAAGGGGCGGGGCGAGCCAGGGGCGGAGCAAGGTCAGGACCGCCCCGGGCGGGGGCGGGGCAAGGTCAGGACCGCCCAGGCGGTGCGGGGTAAGGGGGCGGGGCGAGTCGGGGAGTGGGACAAGAGGGCGGGGCGAGCCGGGGAGGGGCGGAGCAAGATCAGGACCGCCCAGGCGGGGGCGGGGCTAAGGGGCGGGGCGAGCCGGGACAAAGGGGCGGGGCGAGCCGGGGAGGGGCGGAGCAAGATCAGGACCGCCCAGGCGGGGGCGGGGCTCGGCGCGCAGTGCGGGGCAGGCCGCAGGGCGCCAGGACGCGGGGCGGGGCAAGATCAGGACCGCCCAGACCGGGGGCGGGACGCAGGGACGCGGGGCGCGGCAAGGTCAGGACCGCCCAGGCGGGGGCGGAGCAAGGTCAGGACAGCCTAGGTGGGGGCGGGTGGGGGCGGGCGTGGGCGGGCCCGGGACGTGGGCGGGGCTCCGGGGCCTTTGGGGGCAGCTCGGGTCCACGCGGCCCGGCCGCCCAGAGCGCAGTCGCGTCCTCCGCCCGGCGGCTGAAGGTGCGCGGCGCCCCGCGGGGCGGGAACCCGGCGCGGACTCCGGGAGCTGCGGTCTGCAGGGCTGCGGGCTGGGTCCTGCGGCTGCCCGCGGGGTGAGTGCCTCGCTCGCCGGGGTACGGGGTTGAGGAGCGGCCCTTCCCGGACGCCGCCCTGCGCACCGCGGGCCATTCCCCGTTGGGCCCCGGCCTTGGACTGAGCTCTTACGTACCGCGTGGCCGGTGCGGTAGCGGGCCCGCTGCCCCAGGAGCGCCGTGCTGGGAGGACCCTGGGGCTACCGACGAGGCAGGGCAGCCCGGGGTCAGTGTGGACGGGGGTGTCGTCATTAGGCCCGCGGGGCGCCGGCCTGGGCTGTGCTGGGTTCGTGGCAGTCGGTAGCAGAGTCTAGAAAAACAATCTCCAGCCTTTTGTCTTTCTGAGGATATTCGCCAAAGAAGTACAGAAGGGATGTGGGGGCCCCTGGGTGGCTCAGTGGTTGGGCGTCTGCCTCCAGCTCAGGTCATGATCTCAGGTTCCTGGGATCGAGTCCCCCCAGGGCTCCCTGCTCAGCGGAGTCTATTTCTCCCTCTCCCTCTGCCGGCCGCTCCCCCTGCTGGTGCGCTGTCCAATAAAATCTTAAAAAAACAAAACAACAAAAAGAATATGTATTAAAGGATACACCGGCTAGCAGTGCTATTTATAATTGAGGGGAAAAGAGAAGTAACTCAGGTGCCCAGAAGAGAAGTGGTCACAAATGGGCATGCATGCCTAGTGGGATGGTACCTCGCTGTTGGAGTGGCCGGCTCCAGAGCCTGGCTACAGGGAAAGAGGCGTAGGAAACGTTAACCTTAGTAAAAGTGACAGTTATGTTAGGAGCAAAGATGGGTTTATTTGGGAATTGCAGAGGAATGAAATCTGGGACAGAGCTTAGCTAAAGCGGTAGGAAAATCCCCAGAAGAAAAGGGAGGAATCCTGGGAGAGGGGAGGTTGGGAAGGCTGTTATAACCAAAAAGTCCATTGGAGTCATTCCAGAGTTCCAAGTATAGTGGCTTCTCATTGGCTGAGTGTGACCGCCTCCCATTGGCTGGACTGTTGCTGGGGCAGAAGCAAACCTTTCTTTCCTGGCTGGGACAGTTAAATGTAATATCTATGTGCAAGGTGCATCTCCCTCTTGGGTTTATGGTTGATCCAGTGATGGGGTGTGAGAGCGACTCCTGCTGGCCTCCGACTCCTTTCTAAATGACCTTTCCTTCTATTAACTTTCACAGAAATCAACTGAAAACATTTCAAAATCAGCTTCTGGGTGCTGATTAAGATGAAATAATATACATTAGAAAACATCAGAGCCCATTTGGTGTGGTACATGTAGTTTAAGAAACTGTTGACCTAAAAAAGAGCCAGTTTTGTTTTTTTTTTTTTTACCAGTAAAATGAGTTTATTCGGGGCACCTGGGTGGCTCAGTGGTTGAGCGTCTGCCTTGGGCTCAAGGTGTGACCTGGGATCGAGTCCCACATCCCACTCCCCACAGGGAGCCTGCTTCTCCCTCTGCCTGTGTCTCTGCCTCTCTCTGTTTGTCTCTCATGAATAAATAAATAAAACCTTTAAAAAAATGAGCTTATTCAGAAAGAACAGAGGAATTGTAATTTGGAACATGCAAACCATGGCAAACCATAGATCAGTCTGGAGAACAAAGGAGAAGAACATTACTTTATAAAGAAAAAGGAGGAAGTTGGGAAGGGCTGCTTGGAACAAAGATCTGTTGAGTCCGTTAGAGGAAAAAAGAGTTCAGGGTGGTGTTGGTTTCTGGTGGTTTGTCCCTGACTGAAAACTGGGCAAGGAAATCTTTCTTCCTCCTCCTGGGGCTGTGAAATGAATGTCTTCCTGTGTAGGAAGTGAGTTAAGCTGTGAGGGAAAGTGTGGTGACAGATTCCCTGCAGGTGTCCTGACTCCATTGTAAATGAGATCTCCCTTTATTAATTTTTATACACCACACGGTTCCTTTTTTCATTGAGCCAGGTAAACGCCTCCTTTCTAACAAAGAAAACTGCTGCTGTGCAGGGGCCTGTTAAGGAAGGTGAGGCAGGAGTGAAGGGCACCAAACATCTAGTAAAAGAGCCTGGTTTGGAGTCTTTTTTCTGATTTTGGACAAGTCGCTCATTTCTTGGGCCCTTTTCTTACTCTACAAATAGAAGAATGGACAAGATGGGAGTCACAAACTCAAATACCAGGTGGCCAAGGGTGTGATGTAAATATGTAAACTGATCCAAGCAAAACAAGAAGGAATGGTGGGGCCTGGGCCTACAAAAAGAATGCATGCCTTGTCATGGGCATTAAAATTAAAGCATTTTCTGCAAACCAAAATGGAATCTTGGGTTACGGTGTTCCTTGAGCCTGCAGTGATGTTCATAACCTTTTAAAAAGTAATCAGAGCCTATCATTCTCCCACTGAAGATGCTCCAATGGCTCTCCTTCTGCCTGCCACTCCCCCTGCTTGTGCGCAGTTAGGACTGGCATAAAATCACAAAATCCTTGCCCCTGTCCCACAGACCCCACTCCTCCTCCTCCTCCTCCTCCTCCTCTTCTTCTTCTTCTTCTTCTTCTTCTTCTTCCTTCTTCCTTCTTCCTTCTTCCTTCTTCTTCTTTCTTCTTCTTTCTTCTTCTTCTTTCGGAACCACAGACCAGTCAAAGGCTTTCTTGAACATTCCAGGCCAGTCCCTCTCTCAGGCTCCTCACTTGCTGTTCCCTCTGCCTGAACCTCTGATCCTTGCCCAACTAGGCCCATATCATCCTGCACCTCCCTATTCCCGGAGATACTTTCCTGGACTGTTCTATGTAAAATAGCAAATGCACCTCTGCCATTTTAGTCGCAAAAGTACTTTGTTGTCTTGTCACGGTCACAATTACTTAGCATTATTAGCACTCATCACTATCTAGAAGGTTCTGGTTGCCTTCTCTGCCTGCTGGTTTTGTGTGCCCCACCTCCACCAGCCCCGGCCAGAGTAGAATGTTCCTTTCTCCCTGGTCTTACCCCCCGGGGTCTCAGCCTCCCCACCTAGTGCAGTCCCTGGCCGGCCGGTGACCCAGCTGAATGACTGCACAGACTGAGTTGTGTCCCTCTCATTGCTGTGAATGGAAAGTCGACTCCCAACTGCGTAAACCCCATTCAGAGGTTGCTCTCCTCTACCAAGAGGTCTGAAGGTTGCCAATTCAGAACCATCTCGGCTCTAAGAAAGCATCAGGAATCCAGTTGCTCTCATATTTCTGCTCCGCCATTCTTTGTCCAGAGCCTCTACCCCCCAGATGACTGAACCCCAGCCACCTTCCACAGTGCAGCTCAGATGTAGGCCAGTGGCAGGGGCTGGAATGTCCCCCTCAACCCCCGGTCACCCCCTCCAGGGATGCACCCCAGGAGCCCCACACAGTGACTGCTGCTTCACCCCTGAGTGGAAGGCCGCGAAATGTTGTAGCTACATGAATGAATGAATGAATGAATGAATGAATGAATGAATTCAGGGATTGTTGGCAAAAAACAAGAAGGGGTACTGGGTAGCCAGAGGTGGAGTCGGAACTGTTGGGGCAGGAGTCCGCTTGAGCGAATGAGCAAGGATTTGAACTCCCCTTTGAGAGCCACGGTGCTCTGGCGCTGCCCGTCTGTTGGCCGCCTCCCTGCGGGCCTGGACCGGACCCCAGCCCGGCCATGAGGAGCCCCATCTCCCTCGGCCTTTGTCTCTGAGAAAGAAGCAGCCTGGCACAGTGGAGTGCAGCATCTCCACCGCCAGGGGCTCTGGGGGTGCCCTTCCTGGCACAGGCAGCAGGGGCATTGATGAGCCAGGAGGGGGGAGCCAGGCCTTTCTTGGCCTTGAGGGCCTCTCAAGAGAACTCACAATTTTCCAGGGCCTTTTTTTTTTAAGATTTTATTTATTTATTCATGAGAGACACAGAGAGAGATCTCTGCTGGCCGAGACACAGGCAGAGGGAGGAGCAGGCTCCATGCAGGGAGCCCAACGTGGGACTCGATCCTGGGTCTGTAGGATCAGGCCCTGGGCTGGAGGCGGCACTAAATCGCTGAGCCACCCAGGGGTCCCCCCCAGGGCCTAATTCTGTGCACACCGTATGTACGCCCATCTGTCTCGCTCTCGCAGCCATCCTGGGACCGTGCACACTGCAGGAGACATGGTAACTACGAGTTTTTGCCAATGCTCCTGACCTTTGTTCAGCTCTGTTGATTATTTGGGGGAGGGGGAATGTGGGAGAGGGAGGAAGGGCACAGAGGCATCTTTCTGCTTCTTATCATATCTCATTTTCTAGAACCCCTTCATTTTGGCTGCCTTCATGGAAGGTTCTAGTCCTCTCGAAAAAAAAAAAAAGTCTTGGTTTTGGCACCTTGTGTGATTTGTCCTCTGAGACTTAAAGTCTCCAGGTGGTTTCTTGTCCCTCTTGAGAAAGCTTTTTTTCAAACACGTCGGCCTGTCCTTCATGAGGCCTGGCGTTGGTACGTTGACTGCACCACATCTCCACGCTTCCCTCCAGTGTTCAGGTGTTTGTTTTCTCTTCCAGATTGTTGGGGTCGCCAAGGTGATTGACCACGTTGAAAGCCTGCAGCTCGCCACGCTCAATCCTTCTGTGCCCAGGAACAACAGCAGACCCTCCCTTTGGTAGTAGTCAGAGGCGGAGAATCCGTCTTCTTAGGACATGGCAGGTGACTATTAGCTGTGCAGGGAGATAAACTTTTCTAAGTAAAAATTTTAATTAGAAATTAAGTATGTAATAAAAATCCAGACAACACCGAAATGTATAAAACTTGTTTTGTTTTTAACAGGAAATGCTGTTTGGAGTTACCTTGTTTTATATTTTCTTAGTCATTTTATTGTCCATTTCAACCCCATCAGAATATAAGTTCCCCAAAAGTGACGGCCACGCTCCTCTTGTTTTTGCTCTGCCTCTGGTCCCTGGAACGATACCCAGACTATAGTCATGCTCAGTAAATGTTTATTGAGCGAATGAACCCCAGGAGTAACCATGGTTTAAAATTCAGTATGACTCAATTTTTAATTTTTTCCCTGCTCAACACCACACACACACACACACACACTCACACACACACACACACACACACACTCCATTCTGCACCTTTTTTTTCTTTCAACAATACATGACATAAAAATTCTTTCATTTCAGAATGTAAAAATGCACCTTGTTTGACACAGTGTGGTGTAGATTAGGGTTTCTTAACCTCAGCACTACTGACATCTTGGGCCAGTAATCCTTTGGTGGTGCCATCTTGTGCATCGTAGGATGTTTAGTAGCACATCCGGTATCTGTCTACTGGATGCCAGGAGCACCCTCTTCCTAGTTGTGAAAACCCAGAGTGTCTCCAGACATTGGGGACCGTCCCCCCAGACAGGCAACACGGCCCCCATTGAGAACTATCGATGGAGATGTTTCATTTATATCCGTCGGTAGAGTTCCTGTGTAACGGATGAGTCTGAGGAGTTAAAATTAAAATGTTAACCATTAACCTAACCCATAGAATCCAACCTTTACACCCATGTGAGTGCCCAAAACTGTATGCTTCAAAGTACCATTTGTATTTCCCCCCATGGGCCTAAAATGAAAAATTTTAAATCAAGAGTTCAAGCGTTTTAGCCTTCGACATTACCAAGGGCAAATGTGAACAGAAACCAACGCCGCCTCCCAGGAGAAACCAGTCAGTACGTAATCTCACCCGAGTGAGGGAAATCCTGCTTCACAGGCTGTTGGTGTTAATGACACAGCCAGGACCTGTAAGACTGGACTGTTCTTAGAATCTCTGTCATCAGCCTTGCCACCCAAAGCAGGGCTCCATCTGGGCCCTGCCTCCCCCTGGGATTAGGGTCTGTTTTCCCTACGTTGTTGGCGTGTTCCATCTCAGTGGGCCTGGAGGAGGAAACAGAGCTGTGTGTCCGTAGCTGGTGCCTGCTGAAGTAGGGTTAGCAGGAGAGATTAGTTGTGGTGACTTTCAATTTTGGTGTTCGTCAACAGAGCAAAAACCTCTGATGGGGAAGACCCACAATAGCTTGGGCTTTTAAGGAAATTCGTGGTGTTATTTTTGAGGAATCATAATTTGACTCATTTTATGTTTGTATATTAGTAAACCCAGGCGATGGTGAGCTATAATTAGATTTTAGAAAACATTCATTATTTTAAAAACTATCACCCATAAAAGAGGTTGGTGTTTCTTAGCTTGAGCCTATGATGCGCCTACATGTTTCATTGTTATCTTAGTCTTCGTGGAATTTTGACAAAGAGGAATTGTTCATTAAGAGAGTCATTTCTCAAAAAAAAAAAAAAATAAAGAGTCATTTCTTTTCTGATTCAGGCAAGAAAGTCCTCATTGTCTATGCACACCAAGAACCCAAGTCTTTCAATGGATCCTTGAAGAAAGTGGCGGTGGATGAGCTCAGCAGGCAGGGCTGTGCCATCACCGTTTCCGATCTGTATGCCATGGACTTTGAGCCGAGGGCCACGAGGAAAGATGTCATAGGTGAGTCACGGGGTGAACAGTTTTTGTTTTTTTAACTTTCTTCTTTCTAGGTGTTTCATGGAAAAAATGTTTTGAAAAAACTAACCATGGTGCATAGTACCCAGTTCTGAAGCAGAAAAAGTCCACATGGCAAGTCTTTTTCCCATCCCTGTCCCCAGCCACCCAGTGTCTGCCCCCCAGGTCACCAGGATGCTCACTTGTCTCTGTTCCTCTGTGCTGTGCAAAGCATTTGTGGGCATATCCTCCATCGCCTGTCCCCTTTGTTTGTTCAGAGTGGTAGCAGGCTTTACGGGTTGTTTTGCACGTTGCATCCGTTTTTACTATCAGAGTATTCATTGTGTGGAGGTGTCCTAGGTGAGGTGGCCCCTACTGACGGACATTCCAGGGCATTCCTGATCTTTCCCTGTCACAAACAGCACCGCAAGGAAGAATCATAGCCAGACACATTTTCCTATGTATACAGATGTCACCTAGAGGTGGAATTGCTACCAGAGGGAAGGTGCATTCTTGATTTTCATAGATAATATCAAATGCTAAATGTACCAGTTTACACCTGGCACCAGCGATGTTCGCAAGTGCTCATTTCCTCTGCATTACCGGTTTTTGATCATTGCCAGACTGTCAAGTGAAAAATGGTCTCCCAGGATAGTTTTGATTTGCCTTCCTCTTATTGTAAGAGAGCTATACTGCCTTTGTGTTTATGTAAGACACATTTTCTTTGTTTACCAGCTGCATTGAGACATGATTGACAAAAGTTATATATATTTAAGGTATACGATATAATGGGGTTTTTTGGTGTTTTTTTCTTTTTTTTGATTACTAGTTTCGGAGGTAGAGTTTAGTGATCCATCGATTGCATACAACACCCAGTGCTCATTACATCACGTGCCCTCCTTCATGCCCATCACCCAGGTACCCCATCCCCCACCTACCTCCCCTCCAGTGACCCTCAGTCTGTTTCCTAGAGTTAAGAGCCTCTTCTGGTTTGTTTCCTTCTCTGTTTTTATCTTATTTTATTTTTCCTTCCCTTCCCTTATGTTCATCTGTTTTGTTTCTTAAATTCTACATAGTTCCATCATATGGTATCTGTCTTTCTCTGACTGACTTATTTCACTCAGCATAATACTCTCTAGCTCCATCCGCATTGTTGCAAATGGCAAGATTTCATTCTTTTTGATGTCTGGGTAATATTCCTTATACCACATCTTCTTTATCCAGTCATCTGTTGATGGACATCTGGGCTCTTGCAATAGTTTGGGTATTGTGGACATTGCTGCTATAAACATTGCCCCTTCGGGTCATTATATCTGTATCTTTGGGGTAAATAACCACTTGCACAATTGCTGGGACGTAGGGCAGCTCTATTTTTAACTCTTTGAGGAACCTCCACACTGTTCTCCAGAGTGGTTGCACCAGCTTGCATTCCCAGCAACAGGGTGAGAGGGTTCCCCTTTCTCTTCCAACGTCTGTTGTTTCCTGTCTTGTTAACTTTAGCCATTCTCACTGGTGTGAGGTGGGATTTCATCATGGTTTTGATTTGTATTTCCCTGATGGCCAGTGATGTGGAGCATTTTCTCATGTGTCTGTTGGCCGCCTGGATGTTGTTGGAGAAATGTCTGTTCATGTCTTCTGCCCGTTTCTTGACTGGATTTTTTACATGATGTTTTGAAGGCATTTTCTTAAGTATTCTTTTTAAAAAGCTAAATGCTTTTAGCTTTTCATTTATATTAATATTTTGTATTATACTTACAATATTTATATTAGTATTTTAATAAAATATTTAATATTTTATTTCCTGGGAATTGTCTGTCTCTATCCCTTGTTTATTCTTCTCTTATATCTCTTATTGGTATTTTTAAAATTTTTATTTATTTATGATAGTTACACACACACAGAGAGAGAGAGAGAGGCAGAGACATAGGCAGAGGGAGAAGCAGGCTCCATGCACCGGGAGCCCGATGTGGGACTCGATCCTGGGTCTCCAGGATCGCGCCCTGGGCCAAAGGCAGGCGCCAAACCGCCGCGCCACCCAGGGATCCCTCTTATTGGTTTTAAAGAGCTCTTTATATATTAAAAAGTTAGTTTCTAGTGTGGGGTATGAATTGTGAATACATTTTTATCAAATTTATGTTTTCTTTTGTTTTGACTTTGCTTATGGTGTTTGTTTTTTTTTCCATGCAGGATTTGATTTACCTAGTTGGCTTTTGATCAGTCTTTTTCTTCCATGACTTCTAGATTTTGTGTCATGCTTATCTACATTCTAAGATTTTTTTAATTTGATAGTTTTGCCTAGTATTTGACCTATTTCAAATATGACAAATTTCAAAGTATTGATAGTTTTGCCTAGTTTTTGACATATTCAATATGACAAATTTCAAAATATTTTTTAAAAATATTTTGTCTACTTAAAGTTTATTTTGGTATATGATGTGAGGTATGATTCCAGTATTTTTTCTAAGCGTCTACTGAGTTGTCTTATCACCATTTATTGTATGATCCAGCCTCTCATTTAAAATGCCACCTTCATTGTGATTTAAATTCTCAGGTACATTTGATCCTGTCCTATACTTTGTATTTTGTTGTTGTTGTTGTTGTTGTTTATCCTATTGGCTCATGGATTCAGTACCACATGGCTCTAATTATTTTGGCAAATGCTACAATATCTGATAGAACTAGGTCACCTAGTTTGCCTTATTTTCTATTTTTTCTAGCTAGTTTTATTTTACTTTTCTATAAAATCTTTTGAATTATCTTCCCAGATTCAAAAAGTAACCAGATGATATTTTTATTGAGATTCCATTAAATTTACAGATGAATTTTTATTATAGTGATCTTATCCAGGAGAATAGTATGGCTTTTCATTTGCTCACATCTTCTTTACAACCCTGCAGCTCTCTTTACAAGTTTTCTTCATGCAGATCTTGCATGATTCTTGTTAATTGGTTTTGTTTCTCTAAGTCAAGAGGGTTACTCTGTTTGCCTGTGTGCATGTGTGTGTGCGTGTGTGTGTGCGTGTGTGTGTGTGTGTGTCTGTGTGTGTGTATCCAGCCACGACTAATTTTCTCACCGTTCGTAGTAGATTTCAGCTGATTCTCTGGGGCTTTCCTGATAATGCAGCCGAATCCTCTGCAAATAATGACAATTTCACCTCAGCTTTTCCAGTATTTAATACCTTTAATTTCCTTCTGTTTGTAATTGTAGTAATGCTATCTGAAGATTTAATATTTAGTATTGATGGTAATAGCTAACATCCCGTGTCTTCGTGTCTTTCTTTTGTTTTAATAAATCAATCAACAATTTTCACTTAACAACAGAGCAACGACTAGGAAAACAGACTATTATGTTAAGGAGCCACTGGTTTTTAAGTGGATAAAGTAATACAAGCTTATTGTAAAAAATATTTTAAAATACAGCGAACAAGGTGAACGTAGGGTAAGCAGTACAAGCCCCTTTTCACCTGTACTCCATCATCCTACACTGTCCAAAGAGACAAATTAATTTAACCTTTTGGTGTAGATTACCGTGGATCTTACATCAAATATCCATGTAAATTATAGTTTCAAAACTCTACAGGTACAGACGTAAATGGTGCCACGTCATGGGACTTGCCTTATTCACTTAGAACCTTGGAAGTCTTTTTAATGATTGCACAGCGCTCCATCATACGTAATATGACTTACTTGCCAGTTCCCCTGCTGCTTTGTATTTACGTTGTTCCCAACTTTTATTTCAAGCCATGTGCCAGTCTTTCTTTTATGGCTCTGGGTTTCGTTGTCTTGCTTAGAAAGGCCACCCCAAACCCACACTTACAAAATATTCTTATTTTCCTCTGATACTTGGATACCTTTACTTTGAGGTTTACTTTTTAAATTTACCTAGAATACAGTTGGCCTATGCACATTTTATCATCTCTATTTATCATTACCAGAACCACCCCCAGGCTCTGCTGTAGGTTCCACGTGTTGTGAGTAGCTAAAGCCCCACCTGGAACCTGCCTGAGAGAACATGACCTCTTGCCTACAGCAGTTACCCTCTTGGGGTTTCCTGTCAATACAGAACCTTATACTGAGGACAGACTCAGTAGATGCTCTTTGAATGAAAATCAAACACGGGCAGATGAAAAAAGAAGCAAAGAACACAGATGTATTTCTAAATTATGATTTATTGAAAGACCATGGATTCCGTTCTCTTGGTTCTCCTCCACACGGTTGGGGCTTTGTCTGCTCCTCTCCAGACCCCATGTGGTGGAGTGCTTCACATGGGCCTCATTGTCCCACCTCGTCCTGCTGCCACTGAGACCTCGGTGGCATTGAACTAGCCACCAGCCTCTCTCAAGTCTCGGTTTCCTCTTTGGTAGACTGGGAATTCCACTTACCGGTGACTGGAAAGATAGAAAAGGCAATGTGTGTGGAGCACAGCACCTGATACGTAGGAGGTCCTCGTGTGAATGGTACGCCCGAATTAATGCTGATTAATGCCTTTGATGAATCCTTCTGGTTGACAAGATCCCAACTGAAGGCGTAGCTCAAAATCTCTTTCGTTCTAGCTGCCGTGGGCAGTGCTGTAGGCTCTAGCTGAGACCCATCCTCCCACGGCCCACCGCTGCCGCCTGACTGTGTCCGCCCCCCACCAGGCTTGCTCTTGAATCACTGCTGCTACAGTGAGCTCGTCCAAACTCAATTCAGAGCATTTATTTACTTTCCCTGCATGAGCCATCTGGCTCCTCACATGCAGGAAAAGTTCATGCTCCTTAACGAGGCTAACAAGACCTGGCGCATCTCTGCCCTCATCACCTGCAGCCCTTCTGGCCCCTCACCCACTTCCCCAGGGGTGCCTCTGGTGGCCCTTTCCTGAGCTGGCCGGGTTGTCGGACACCCTGCCTTCTCTGTGTCTTAGGCCCAGGACGTCCTGTCTCTTCCCCCGGGGCTCCAGGCTGCCTGGTAAACTCCTGCTCCATCTTCAAAGCCTGGTTTACAAAGCTCTTCGCTAACCCAACCAAGCAGAGCCAGCCACTGCTGTCCTGAGTCAGGCCACAGGCGTGATTGTAAGCTGGGAGGCTTATCTGGCCATAACGTCAGACTGGGCTTGCTAACTCTTGTTTCTTATGTTAATCACTTGGGTATTTATCTACTCTTATTGGATGTTGAGTCCCTTGAAGGTAAGGACAGTAGCTTCCCCTCTTGATTTTCATAGCCTGACCCCAAAGCCCAACACCTGATGGGCTCTCAGTGACTATCTGGCGACTTGCTTTGGGGAGTCCAGGTAACGGCGATGCCAGTGGGATCGGCCAGGACGGGCTGTGGGGGTGTCTGTGAGAGCGGGAACATTTGGCCTGTTCTTCTACAGGTGCTCTCTCTAATCCCGAACTCTTCAATTACGGGATGGAAGCATATGAAGCCTTTAAGAAGAGGTCTCTGGCCAGTGACATAACCGATGAACAGAAAAAGGTTCAGGAGGCTGATCTAGTGATATTTCAGGTTTGTTTTTCCCCTGATTATTATAATGAATTAGATTCATTCTCTGTACAAGCTCTTTTCAATGACTGAGTTTCACACTTCTAGAAATGGTATTAATATTGTTAGCACATTTGCACACTTATTTATGTCTAGTTGGGTAAAGAGATCCACGTGGCCAATATTGTTCATTCAAAATCCTGACACTGGGCAGCCCAGGTGGCTCAGTGGTTTAGCGCCGCCTTCAGCCCAGGGCGTGACCCCGCGGCCTGGGATCGAGTCCTGCATCGGGCTCCCTGCATGGAGCCTGCTTCTCCCTCTGCCTGTGTCTCTGCTTCTCTCTCGGTGTCTCTCATGAATAAATAAATAAAATATTTAAAAAATAAAATAAAAATCCTGACACCCGGGTAAATAGTGGGGAATTCCCCTTTAGCCCCGCAGTCCACAAACCTCTGCATCAGGCAAGTGGAACTGCCTTCATTCCCGTCTGATCCCCACCCCACATAGGCAGAGGCTGCATGAAAACCAGGTTTGTCCACACGAGCATTTATGCAGGTAATTCGGGCCAAATGCAAGTCGTTCCCTAAATATCCTGATCATGAAGAGGAAAGTCTTCTTTTGTGTCCTTCCTGGCCCTGGTTGCCTCAGCAGCCCACCTTCTGTGCGTCATTCACAAATCGCCACAGGCCGGGACTGCTTCCCTGGGCCCTAGCTCCTGCAGGCTGCTCCCCGCACAGCCAGACCCGCGTGTGCCCACGAGCCAGCCCTGAGCCTGGCAGCAGAATAAACACGTGCGTTTTGGAAGGTGTCGGGTGGACAGAAATCCGAGTCGACTAGGAGAAAGGAATTTATTCTAAGGGCCATGGGCACCTGGGTCTCCTGGGACCTGAGGACGACCAGCTGGCTTCAGGGGCCTTGGAACCGAGGCTCGGTCAGCCCTGCTCTCCCCGTCTGCTTGTCACCCGCCGCTCCCTGCGTGCCGCCTCTGTCCTCGCCTGCTGACCCCAGGGCCTGCAGTCTCCGCATCCGGAGCCCCGGGGTGGGTCCGATTGGTCCAGATCGTGTGTTTCCAGCGCTGCGTAAGGGCAGGGCGTGGGTGAGGGACCAGGACCACCACGTGCCGGGGGGCAAGCGCGTGACCAGTTTGCGGGGGGACCCACGTGGCCAGAGGCAGAGTCCACGGACCCTTCGTAACCTGAGGCTCCGGGCCGGGAAGAGGGAGCGCCTCGCCGCCTCTGCTGCCGCTGCCTCTCCACCGTCGCTGGCACCGGGCCTCTCGGGCCTCTCGGGCCCAGGCCCGGAGCTGCCGATGCGGCGGGGGCAGCCGGTTCCCCAGCCGGTTCCCACGTGGCTGCATGCGGTGTGCGGCTGCCCCGGAGGCTGCCCCAGAGGCTGCCCCGGCCCCGCAGAGCCATCCTCGGCCGTCGGTCCTCGCCCCTCCCGGTCGGGCCGCGGGGCGCCCGCGCTGGCAGCGACGGCAGCCAAGGCCTGTTCTTTCAAAGTGGCCTTTCTTTCTCCCTGCTCCATTTTCCAGCTTTTTCCTCTGCTTTTTCCGCTTTTCCTGATGCTTTGCCCAGAGCGCCTGCATGCTCCGTCTATTGTTCCTCCCGCACAACAGCAAGGAAAATGTCACTGGTCAGCGCTGCTCAGTGACTGGTCCCCTTCCCCGGCCACGCATCCACTTGCTCCCAAGCTCTGCATCGCGGCCTTAAATCCTCCCCGCGATGCCGTCACCTAGTAGCTGGTACTAAGCCCTATTTGCAGACCAGGAAAAGGAGGCACAGAGAGGTCGAGTGATTCGCCAGCATCACACAGCAGCGGGCTGTGTCTCCTGAACGTCCCTGCCAAGTCCTGTGTTAGGTTTATAGCAAAAGCACCTGAAACACGGGCTTCCTTCTGCTGGTCACGGGTTATTATGTGTTTGTCTCCCGTCATTCAGGATGATTCGGGACGTAGTGTTAGGGCTTCTATGGGGACCAGGGTGGGCGTTAGGTAGATCATACTGCTGGGGTATGGAATCCAAGGGTAAGGCCTTGGTCTGTGTCGGAAATCCGGAGCTTCTCAGAACTTCCCTTAGGCTGACTCCAGAGAGCAGGTACCCCGGGCACGGAGAGGGCAAACTCTGCTGCGCCCTTCCTCTTGCACCCCTTGATCAGATCCGTCCCAGGCACTGTAGCCACAGAGCCAACGTCCCCAGCTAGGCCAATGTGCTAGGGCCTCCCACCCGCTCCAGGACCAGCCCGAGGGGCCGTCAGAGGGGGGACACAGAGCCACCCAGAACGGCGCCCAGGACCATTGTCAGCTCTGCCCTGCCCGGCCCCACCACACTGCCTGTCTCAGGGTGAAAGGGAGGAAATGCCCAGTCCTGTGCTGCCCTCCGCTTGTCCTCACCTGCCCAGCCACCCGGAAGGATTCAACGGTGGGACTGAAACCTGAGCAGCCCACAGCACCTGTTTCTCCTTGGCATGTGTCCGCAGTTCCCGCTCTACTGGTTCAGCATGCCGGCGATCCTGAAGGGCTGGATGGACAGGGTGCTGTGCCAGGGGTTCGCCTTTGACATCCCAGGATTCTACGATTCCGGTTTCCTCAAGGTACGGATCACTGTGTACTGGGGGGAGGGGGGGCATCGCATCAGGTCATGTTTCTAGTTTGCTTATTTGTAAACAGAATACTGATTGAACACCAACTATGGTGTACTTGGGCAAGAAAAGTGTGGTTTCTAAGGTCACAGGGCTTTTGTCTAGCGAGGAATGTAGATGCATCCACAACTAGTCACCCACCTGTCCGAGGAAGGCCTGGCCTGGTGTTGCAGGAGGGCCGCGGCGGGCCCCTCGGGAGAGGGCATCTGTTCTGTGACGCGGAACTGAGCCGCGGGCTGCCGCCTCGCCTCTCGGCTTCAGGATAATGTGACACTCGTGTTGCAGGGCGAGGATTGCACAGAACCCAGGGGGTGCGCAGTGCACAGTAGCTATGGATTTCTTACTCAGATCATTTCTTACTAAAATAAATAATATTTTAAATTCGGAAAGCCTCAGAAGATAAGTGCACGTAAGGAAACTATAGGGTCACAAGGTCTGTCGTGGATGGTGAAGTCATGCCACCACCGAGGGAGTGGTCCTGGGTGCCAGGGCCCCCACTCAGCCTCACGGCAGCCCCCGCAGCCAGCACCTGGGCCCCACCTGGGCCCCACCTGTCCACACTGTGCATCACCAGCCCGCCGTGCTCCAGGCTGGGGCGCATCAGAGCCCTGGGTCCGCTCGCTCCGGTCCGTCCCCTGTGGCCACGGGCGGTGGCCGCCACCTGTAGCTGGGCTCGAGCCGGTTACCGCCTGTCGCTCCCGAGGGAACTGACCTCGGACCTCCGTCCTGGGCGTGCTGCACCTTCGTGCCGGCGTCCCGCATCTGCTCTCTCCTCCGCAGGATAAACTGGCCCTCGTCTCGTTAACCACAGGGGGCACAGCCGAGATGTACTCGAGGAGTGGCGTCAGCGGGGACTTTCGGTACTTCCTGTGGCCTCTCCAGGTACCCGCGCTCCCCCCGCCCCTCCGGGCCCCTGCCGCTCCCCGGGTCCAAAACAAGCCTGAAACTGAGACCATTGTGACTCCCCCTGAGCACAAGCAGTTAGAACATTTTGCCCTTTTAAATTTCTTCCTTAGCACCAAAGAAGTCGGCCAACAGGGAAAACTTGTATTTATTACAGTGACAGCCTTTGAAGCTCCTGGGTGGAAGCTCAGCTGAACCTGCTTAGCTGACATCTGCCCTGCAGCAAATCGAGTCGCCCCAAGTCGCCCCATGTGTGCACTGAGCACAGGGAGGCCATCTGCACCCCCTGGCAGTGCCCTGGCAGGAGGCCCCCAGGGCCAGCGTTCCCGATGGCCTCACGCCCACCACCCCCTGGAGGCCGTGCCTGTCCCCAGGGCCCACACCCCTCTCCGGGCTCCTGGGGCTCGGGGCCTGCTCTTGGGGGGATAGCATATAGCATCCTGCCTCTGCACTCCCTGGGCCGTCCCTGGAGGGGGGGCGGGGGGCAGAGCATATGCCAGCAGGCCGGGGTGTCCCCGGGTCAGGCACCCCTGCTGAAGGCCCGGGAGCGGGCTCCGGTCAGGCGGCCACATCCTGGGCACCCAGAAACTGAGATGTAAACCCTTCTTCTGGGATTGTCACGAAAGCACGTTTGTCCAGGGAGGAGGAGGTGACACATTCAGCAGTTGTGACCTTGCTTTAAAAATGGAGATCATGACCTGTGGGCCTCTCGCCCTGCTGACTTGCCCCCTGCTAGGGCAAGCCTGGGCAAAGCTGTGGGTTTTAAGGGGAGGAGTGCAGAGAGGGGAGATTGAGGTTTCTGGAAAAACACTGTCTTCTTTGAAAGGAGACGGGATGGTGATCCCATTCAGGGATGCTCCGCTGAAGACAGTGGCAACTTACAGGCCTCGACCTCCTTCTCCACAGCTCAGCTAGTCTCTTAGGGCTTGTTACCCACACTTAGATTCTTCTTGTTTTTAAAACAGCTTTGTATTTTTTTTTTCAGTTTTCAGAAGTACATATTATTAAAAAAGAGTGAGGCCATAAAATATAAAAACGGAAAGTCCTCTTAATTCCCCCCTTAAAAATAATGACTTTTAATAATTGGATGTATTTCTTCATGGCCCATACATAATTTTATATGCCTGCATTTTATTTTTAGGGTTATTATGTGTATGTTTTTACATAAATGGTATACCACAAACACTGCTTCATTTTTCTTGTTATATTTAGTCAACACATCTCAAAATGCCATATATGGATATATACACAATAGCTAGAATAATGTCATAGCATTCCAGAATAATCCGTCGTATGAATGTATCATGATTCACCTAAGCATTCAAAACCATAAGGAGTACTGCCTGAGTCAGATGCAAAGATTACAGATTAATCTCAGGATCTGAAATTTCCAGCTGCCCAGAGTTCCTCGCCTCACTCATAAGGGCCCACGTCATGAGGTTATAGGGCAGTTCAGTTGTCTTCGGTTACCTAGTAGCAGCAGTCACGTTGTGCTCTTATTTTTGGAAGGCTTATTTCAGGCCCTTTTCCCCCCCTTTTAATCCTCTAACTGAACGACATGTAAAGGATGCGGCTTCTGATCGGTTCTCTGCTGTCTTTGCGGCCACAGCATGGGGCGCTGCACTTCTGTGGATTTAAAGTCCTCGCCCCGCAGATCAGTTTTGCCCCTGAGATCGCTTCTGAGGAAGAAAGGAAGGCCATGGTGACATCCTGGGCACAGAGGCTGAGAACCATCTGGGAGGAGGAGCCCATCGACTGCTCGCCTCCTTGGTACTTCGGGCAGTGACCCTTCGTGCCCCGTCCGCGTCGCTGGAGCTGCAGGCACCGGCAAAGAGGAGATGACCCTGTAATAAAATGAAATTACAACAAAGCGAACTAGATACGTTTGATGTCAGGTGGGACCGAGCATCCCACCCCCAGACCCAGCCTGTCAGCCGTCGCTGCTTACACCGAATCCTCTTCCGACCAACAGTATCATTCACCCAGGCTTGCTTGGCTCCTCTGATGTCTTTCCACCTCCCTGTGTTCAACCTTCATGGGTAATCTTGGTTTCAAACAGCTCTCCTGGCGTGGCATGGTTTTTGTTTTCTTTTGCCTTATTTCATAACTCAACTTGGGAATTTCTGGTTTTTCATAGAAGGGTTTAATCTTTCCTAGCTAGTGCTTTAGTGCCGTGTTTGGACTTTATTTCTTCCATCTCTCTCTCTCTTTCTTTTTTTACTTGCATGCATGATGGCTGTGAAGTTTTCAGTGAACAGCTGGTTAACGTGTATGTAAAATCATTGGAGGGGGAGGGGGCTTACCAGGAAAGTCTCCCAGCGTCGCTCCCATGGCTTCCCCTCCCTGCACATGGGTTTGAGTGGCTCTACTAGTAATTACTCTGGGGCAGAGGCATGGGTAGCGGAAGGGTCTCCCTAAAAGCAGGTTTAAGAGATTAAATCTGCTTCTCCTCCTTATCGTCATCACTTCCGAGGATGGAGCCCCTTCCTGGGCACAGGGGCCCTCCTTCCTTAGCGTCCCTGGTGCCACCCACCATCCCCTCGTCAGGCTGGCCACTTAGCTGCCCCCCCGGCTCCTCATCACACTCCCTCATGCTGGCTCCCTCATCCTTGAGCACCCTGTCCCCTGCTTTGCTGCCTCCTTCTCTTCCTCAGCACCTCTAAACCCTTTCCCATCCACCTTCCCCTTCCTCCCATTTTCCTGCTGGTGCACCATCACACACGTCTCCATGTGCATCTCCTTCCTCTTCCTCTGAATCTCCACAGCCTTCCCCACCAAGCACTCCCTCAGAGCCACCATCCCTGGATGCTCAGCCTTCAGGGTGTTCCTTCCTAACTCTTTTTTTCAACACTGTTTTCTTCTAGTTTTTTGTTTGTTTTGGTTTGGGTTGGGTTTTTTTTTTTTTTGTTTTTGTTTTTTTTTTTTGTTTTTTTTTTTGGAGCCCTCCTCAAACTCCTCTTCACAGCGATCTTCAGATTCTCTTTCTAGGGCATCTTCATCTTCAGATTCCTTTTCAGGGTCACCTTCGGACTATTTTGAAAGCCATTCCCTTCAGGGTCTTTTTTTGAGGCTCTTTTGAGACTGTTCTCATCAGACTTTTGGACCTGCCTTCTTCAGACTCTTTTGGGACCATGTTCTTTAGCCTCTTTTTCAGAAGCATCTTCAAAATCTCCCCCATTTCCTCATTCTTCAAATATCTTTCCACGTGTAGATTCTTCGCATGTCATGTTAGTTGCAGCTTCTTGAGCTTTCATCCTGGATGTGCTCGGGTGCTCTGGAAATGCCTTACTCGAGAAAGGCTCGACTTTTGGACCCAAGATGGAAGTTGAACACTGACCACGTCCATTGGCCTTGGGACACTGTAGAAAGATTTCCCTTCTCAGCCGTTCCTTCTTTCTTCCTGGGGTCTTCTCATCCTGGCCATCTTAGTCCAAGGCCCATATTTTTTCCCCATAAATACATTGGAAAACATTTTGGAGATTTACAATTTGACAGGGATTCGATGGCCACCACGCCACCTTCCATCGAAGGTTTGAGTGCACAGATAGCTTCCTCAAGACATCTGGGTGTCTGTCAAAGAGAAGGCACTTCCTGATTTGCCCAAGCTTTGAACATTCTCCTCCAAGGTTTTCTCTGACCTTGATTAGCACCAGTGGGCCATCCTCAAAATCCATATGATGAAACATTTCATAGGATGAAACTACTCCCCCACAAGGACAGTCCAGCTGCATTTATTACAGGGCCAACTCCTGCCTGTGCTGCTTGTGCCTCTTGCTTTCTGATGCATCCTTAGCTACCTCTGTATGTGATTTCTAGCTTCTAATTTCATCTTCATCCAAAAGCATTATTGCACAATCCAGATTCCCTCTTCAAACAACTGCAGAGCCCATCTGCTGTAACATTTTGTAACATTTTTGTAAAACTTGACCACAAAGTCTGTCTGAGGATCTCATAATCGTGCCAAGATAGACAGAAGTGGTATAAATGCCTCCACTGTGATGTCTGTAGGCAAAGCCCTTGCATTTGTGTTTGCAGTTCTGTCTTCAACATGAAGCCTCTTTTTTCTCCTCTTTTCAAGATCAGTGGGTTTGAGGGTACTTTCCACAGAGGTTTCTTAGCGTTGCTCGCATCTCTTGTATGTTTGCCATGGAGCCAGATGTGCCATCGTTGAGAGGCCATAATTAGCCTGATACACTGTGATAAGTCTCGAGATCTTAGGCCAAACCGCTGTGTCTCCAGGGTGTCAGCCAGCTGCCACCCGAAAGGTAGGATTTCTCCACCAGGATCCTTGGTGCCTCTGTATGGTTCTCCATTCACAATTGCTTATTTGCACATTCCTCATCCGGGTACACTTGACCGTGAACAACACGGGCTTGAACTGCATCATGTCCACTGATACATGAATTTTTTTCCCATAAATACATTGGAAAACATTTTGGACATTTACAATTTGCAAAAACTTAACGGGTGAACTGAGTAGCCTAGAAATACTAAAAATTTTAAGAAAAATGTATTATTGTAAGAATACAGTAAATGCATATAGAAAATATGTGTTAATGGACTTTATATGTTATCAGTAAGGTTTCTGGTCAACAGTAGCCATTAATAGTTCAACTTTGCCGGGGTCAGGAGTTGCACACAGACTTTCAGCCACCTGTGGGGGTCATTGGCACCCCTGGCCCTGCATTATTCAGTTGTCCTGGCCTGAGTTTTCTGCCTCGCTGGTTGCAGGCTCTTAGGCAAGCAAGAGGGCTGGGCTCACTCCCACCTCACCTCAGTGCTGCCAAAGTCCAAGGCCTGGAATCTTTTTTGTATTTTCACTGTGCTTGTCTTTCTATTGTGGCACTATTTCCCCATCAGACTCTGCCTCCAGAATCTCAAAGTTGCTGATCCTTGGACAATTCTACTCGACTGTCCCAGGCATTGATTCAGCATGTCATCAACTGAGTTCATGCTCCTTCCCACACCCCCGTCACCACTGCTTAAGTGACAGGAACATTCCTCTGATGTCGGGCCCCAAGTCTTGGCCTCACCTGGACTACCCACAATCAAGCATCCTGTCTTGCTGATTCCACCTTCTACTTAATGTTTCATTCACCCATTATTTCCATCAGTGATTCCATCATGCTAATCCAGGATACCATGCCTGGATTATTGCAAAACCACCTACGTAGTTTTCACATTTGTTCCTTACAACCCATTTTCTACAAGATGCTTCAAGCACACTTTAAGTGTGCAGATGTGCATGCACACACACATACGCACAGCTCCTGCCACTCCTGAGGCCTTTTGATCCTTCATGGGCTTGTCCTGGCTTTTGGGAAACGTCTAGAATCCTTGAGCTGGTCTGTGAGGTATGGCATGTGACCCCGTCCCCCATACAGGCTTTCTGGCTACTCTGTGTCTATGTCCCAGCCATACCTGACTTCTCCACCTACCAAGCATCCATCTCTTTCCTAGTACATGGGCCGCTCCCTCCAGCAGGAATGTTCGCCCCATCTCGTTACCCATGCCACCCCCATGTCACTTAATGAAGCCCCCCCACAGTCCCTTGGATGGAGTTGGATGTCCTGCCCTATGCCTAGTACTTCTGCCTTAAAAAAAAATACCTCTGTGTGGGGCACCTGGGTGGCTCAGTCAGTTAAATGTCCGACTCTTGATTTTGGCTCAGGTTGTGATCTCAGAGTGGTGGGATCAAGTCCTGTGTTGGCTTTGAGCTGAACGTGGAGCCTGTTTGAGATTCTCTCCCTCTCCCTCTGTCCCCACCCCCAATGTGCATGCACAGTCTTTCTATCTCTCTCTCTCAAAAAAATATCTGTGATATTTTGCTTACTTGAGAAACAGGAGGACATTTTCATACACACTTCAAACACTGGATCCATCTGATTGTCTCTGTCACTAGACTACTGGCCCCGTGAGAGCCAGGATGGGACTAGTCTTATGTAAGCTGTGTCAGTGTGGTGCGCCCCCATCCCAAGAGATGTTCCCTGAGTATTTGTCGGAAAAGTGAGGTCTGCTCCCTGCGTGCACCCGGCCCAGGCCCAGGGCCCCAGGATGGATTGCAGGCCACAGTCTGGCTCTCAGCAAGACCAGCTGTTCCGTGGTAACTGCATCCCTGCGCACACCAGGAGGAGAGAAAGCATGGTCACGTGCCTGGACCTCATTGCTTACCTCCTGGCTTCTCCTCTGAAACAGGCCCCTGGCTCTTGATGGGGGTTGTAGTTTGGGAATGGCGGGCAGCCCCAGGAGACTTTCCCTGGAGAGCTGTCTTCTGTGTCTTCACTGATGCCACTGGGATGCAATCAGGCAGCATGAACTTTGGCTCCTCCTCCCTCACGTCCAGGGGCTGCCGCTGCCACAAGTATGACGGGTGGACAGGGAGCAGCACCAGCCTTTAGAGCCACATTCTGCCTCTGGGTGTGGTTGCTGGACCCCCGAATCCCTTAAGGCGGGAAGCAGATGCGCACTGCAAGGTGTGTGAAGTCACCGACTCTAAATGTCAGAGGGGTGGATTCTCTAACCAGCCAGGGGATGCTGACTACCCTCGTACACTGCTGACTTTTAACATCTCATTGCTGAAATATTAAAATAAAAACATGGCATCCACAGAGCAGCAGGAATTGCTGATAAAAGAAAAAAAACCCGCCAAGAAATGAGCACAATCACATCAATGGCAAGGCAACATTTTTCTTCGGAGCGCGGGGGCCCTATTTTGGATTCAGGAAGTTAGTCCTCTTTAGTCATGAGAGTTGGGTCCCACACCTAGTTTGGGTGGAGGAGACAAACTTGTGTCAGGATATTGGGAGTAGTTCTGGCAGCTGGAGAGTGTGGGAGAGGAAACTAGGCACAGGTCCCAAGAGGGGGATGTGAG